GGCTGTTGTTATTTTGCACTCGCCAGGAAAAGAAGTTTTGTATTAAGTTGGGAATAACTTCATTCCATAGAGTTATCTTTTCGTCTTTGCCATTGAAATTTACGAGCGTTGGATAGCCAGATACTGCGTATTTAAAAATAAATGAATGAATGGATGAATGAATGAATGAATAAATGAGTGAATAAATAAATGAATAAATAGATAACTGAATGACTTGATATCATGTTAGTATGTTGTAAGGATGCATGAATGCCGGGTATGTGAGTGTGCGTGTGTGTGTGTGTGTGTGTGTTGTGTATGTATGTGTGTGTGTGTGCGTATGTGTTGTGTATCTGTACGTATGTATGTATGTATGTATGTATGTACTTAAATATTCTAGATCCGATACTAATAAATAAATTTCGTAAACTTGCCTATACGTAGATGACTCGGACTTCTTGCGTTCATTTTGAATTCTAACCATTCGTGGGAAACAGAACTTTCAGAGCATATTGTAACTTCCGAATCTTCTCTACTGCTACTACTACCTCTGCTGCTAGTACCACTGCTGCTGCTGTCGCCGCTACCGTTATTACTACTGTTGCTGCTGCTACTGCAATCAATTTTTTTATGGTTTGCTATAGGAAAAATGTTAGGGAGGGAATTATTAGTAGTTGTAGTGCTGCTGTTGTCATTTTCAATCTGGTTGTGGTTGTTGTGGTAGCCGTAGTTGTGGCTGTTGTGGTAGCCGTAGTTGTGGTAGCCGTAGTTGTGGTTGTTGTAAAGTCTTTTATCACCTCTATGATTTTTAATGGGGTTCAGGCTGTTTATGCGGCTTCTACTGCCAGTAAATATTTTTATCTCGTCACAACCCTCGCACAAGTAGCATACATTATTGATGTTATTACTTTTGTTTTTGTTGTTGTTGTGGCTTTTTTTGTCATTATCGTTGTTGTTGATGCTGTTATGAACGTCATCATCTTCACAACTCGCAACGCAGCAAGTTTTGCTGCCACTGTCACAACATTCAAAACTGCAATCACCACTGCAGCTACTACTACTACTACCACCACGACTACTACAACTTGTGGCAGTAGCAGTAGTGGCAGTACTAATTTTACTATTACTACTGCAGATTTGTCCGATTTCTGAGCAATATTTGAGCGGGCCGTCACTCTTGTAGTCATCTGTTTCATCCTCTGATCTGTTAGGATCTCTGCGTGTGTGTATATGTGTGTGTTTGTGAGCGTATGTGTATGTGTATGTGTGTTTGTGTGCGTGTGTGTAAGTGCGCGCGTGTGTGTGCGAATGTGTACATGTGTTTATGAACTAAGACACAGTAATATTTGTTTTCAATTTCATGTTTTCAAGAAATTTTAACATTAATATTTGAGCATGGCTTTTAATTAAGTCTGCTCGTCTCAATTCTTTTGTTCTCTCTTGCTCACGTTTCTCTCTCTCTCTCTCTCTCTCTCTTTCTCTCTCTTTTTCTTTATTTCTCTTTCTTTCTCTCTTATACATATAAATAGTGTTATGTTGGCGACTGCACATAATAGAAATTTACAGGCGTGTGCTCGCAAAAACTTGACACCGCAGGCACGGTATTACTTCTGTAATTTGTTTAACCTTTTTTGGGCCCGGAACGATGGAGATGAGAAATAGTACGGTGAGATAGATAGATAGATGTAGAGAGAAAAAGAGAGGAAGGGAGAGAGAGAGGGTTTATTAGAAGAGACAGAACAAAAAATATGTGAAAAATAAAAAGATGGACATAATACAGAAAAATAGTAATAAATTTGTAACAAATAAAAAAGAAAGAGAGAGAAAGAAAGAGAGAGAGACAGAAAGACAGAGAGAGAGAGAGAGATAGAGAAAGAGAAAGAAAGAGAGAGAGAGAGAGAGATAGAAGTAAAGGAGTGTTCATTGGAGTTGTTGCAATGGGCGATAACGCTAATTGAATTTCTTTACGATTTACGATTTATAATACTCTTCCAGAGCTTCTGGAATATTAATCGAAATTGAAAAGTTTAACTAAACCGCGACCATAAACTATTTCCATCCACCCAATCATTTATTCATTCATTGATTCAGTAATTATTTCATCCTAATATTAATATAGTTATACATTCATTCATTCATTCGTTCGTTCATTCATTCGTTCGTTCATTTATTCATTCATTCATCTTATTATAAATGTACACGGTCGTTAATTCATTCACTTAGTCATACACGCACACACAAATCACACGCACACGCAATAAAAAATAAAAGTAGTAGTTGTAGCAGCAGCAGTAGTAGTTGTAGCAGCAGCAGCAGCAGCAGTAGTAGTAGTAGTAGTAGCAGCAGCAGTAGTAGTTGTAGTAGTAGCAATAGTAGTAGTAATAGTAACAGCAAAAAATGCAATGCATGTTAAAGAAAAACTTCAAAATCGAGAAAAATAATAATGCCATGCATGGAGTGAAGGAAAAATCGGCAAGAAAAAAGTAACTTCGAATAAATTTACAGAAAAATATTGCCCGTGGTTCTGCTCTGTGTGTGTCTACAGTCCACAATCCTGAATTATACAGATGTCCATGGCGAAGACACAAAAAATACAGAAGTTACAAAAGATAAAAAAATATACAGATGTGTATACATAAAATACCAAAAATACAAAAAAGACAAACAAAACAATGTGCGAAACTGAATGGGAAACGAAAAAAATTATTAGCGAGAGACATCATAGCTTCATATTTCCATCATCATTTCCCAGCATGTGCCATACAAGTGATATGGCTTGAATGTGTTTGTACGGGTTTCTTAGTATGTATGTATGTGTGTGTGTATGTGTTTATGTGTGATGTTTTGATATATGTTTGTAAATTTTATTATGCTATTTTTTTGTTAAAAACATAAAAAAAATTTGTTTAAACATCGATTTGAAACCGGTAGAGGTTTCGAATCGATTTTTAAACAAATTTTCGATTTTTTACCCATAGGTTGTTTTTCTGATACAATGTTTCGATTTGTCTATCTAATTTCAAAAAAAATTATTTTAAAATGTTTGAGTAAATATTTTAATTAAGTTAGCAATTTTTTCGTTAATTTCATTTGCTAGGGTGACACATCTGGCCGCAAATAACAATCAATCAACAACAAAATATACAAACATAACAAAAAACGCACACATACATAAACATACAAAAATACACACATACAAAAAGTACATGAACATACAATCAAACCTCACAAACATAAATATACTAACATAAATATAAAAACAAACTTACATACAGACAAACAAACAAACATATAAAGGCGGACATACAAAACAGAAAAAACTCAGACCTACATAATGTTATACTGCTCGCTCTTCACCACTCTAAGGCGGTTACTGTACTAACAACATAGTTAGTTCTTTGGGAACTTCTTTCTGCTTTTGTAAGCTTTAACTACTTTTGTAACTTAACTACCATTATAATTACATAACTACTTTAACACATATCTAAATACAACCTATGTTTATTTATGCCTCCTAACCTAAATTATCATCTACATTCAAACGCATACGAAAAACACATACAAAATGTAAACAGAGCTTTTAAATGAATATTGTATGCTGAAAATTCTGATAGCAATGTCATTTTTATTTTCGTTATTGTCATCATCATCGTCGTCGTCATCCTACTTCTCCTCCTCCTCCTCCTCATCACCATCATCGTCGTCATCATCGTCATCATCGTCATCATTCGGACTAGGTGGCATTTATTTTCTACAAAAAATAAATCATCCCTTTGAATTAGAGGATTCAAAGAAAAAGAGAGAGTAGGCGAAAAGTAAGAGAAAGAGAGAGAGAGAGAGAGAAAGAGGGAGAGAGAGAGAAAGACAAACAAACAGGCAGACAAACAAACAGATAGGCAGACGAAGAAGCAAACAGACAGACAAAGACAGAATGAAGGAAGATAATGTAAAACGAAAAACGACAAAGATAACAAGAAGGAATAATATCTTTTACAAGTTTATAAAAGAAGTGAGAAAGAGAGAGAGAGAGAGAGAGAGAGAGAGAGAGAGAGAGAAAGAAAGAAAGAAAGAGAAACAGGCCTAGAAAGAGAGAGAGAAACAAGAAACAGAAAGAGACAAAAAATGTATATAAACAGGTAAGGTGACAAAAAAGCGGAGAAAAACACTACCACGACTGTAGTTTAAATTTACATATACATGCACCACCAGCGTAAAAACACGCTTCCAAGTACAAATTATACAAAAAAATACCCAAAATACGCACAAATTCGCCGGTAAATAAGTTTATTATATTTTAAAAACGTATTACGTAAAAAATATTATAATATTATCATCATCGAATAGATACATTTTTTAAAATATTTTCGTGGAAAAAGCATTTAAATGCTGGTTCCGCTCAACGTGCAAACTTCTCTCAAACCTAAATCTCGTTAGCAGGCGATCAAAAAAGATTAAAATACAGAAATGATACAATACAAATATGATGCAATACAAATATGATACAATTCAAATAAGATACAATACAAATATGATACAATACAAAAATATGATACAATACAAAAATGATACCACAATTTTGACTGAGTTTTGATAAAAACATTACTCCCAACCTACTGCTACTACTACTACTAATTTTAACATTACTGATGTTATCTTACCCGGTTTTAGCGAAATTTGAGATGTAATTAACTAATATTTTGAAGACGATGTTGACGTCATTCGCGTTGTTGTTGATGATGTTGTTGTTGTTGCTCATCTTGATGTTGTTGTTGATGTTGTTGTTCATTTTGATATTGTTGTTGTTGATGTTGTTCATTTTGTTGTTGTTGTTTTTATTGCTGTTGTTTTTGTTGATATTTTTTCGAACACTTCTGATTTTGATAGTTCTTTTATTCATGTCATTGGTGACTGTACTGTCGTTGAGTTTGTTATTATTATTGTTGTTATTAACGTTGTCATTATTATTATTATTATTATTGTTGTTGTTGTTTCGCCACACACGGACAAGATGCCGTTCATTAGATATATATCTCACGGATGAAATAACATCTACATTATTATTATTACCGTTAACAAATTTGTCGTTGTTCAAATTAGGAATATTAATATTAATATTATTATTATTATTATTATCAGCATCACCATAATCATAATTTTCATCATAATAATAATCATCCTTGACACTCCTCTCAAAATAATCACCCACACCATCATCATCATCGTCGTCGTCGTCATAATGGCCACCAAATACGACATCATCATCATAATCATCAACTACGACATCATCATTATCATCATCGCCATCAGCAGCAGCAACAGTAGCAGTAGCAGCTGCAGTAGCTGCAGTATCATCAACATCACCACTACCATCTTGTCGTCTGCTAATGCTGTCATTAAGCATATTTGACTTGCCTGCAACAACGTTACGATGATAGCGATGGGTGAGATGTTTGAGGCTATTATTATTATTATTGTTGTTGTTGTTGTTATTATTATTATTGCTGTTGTTGTTGTTGGTGTTAGTGTTGTTGTTGATGAGTATAAATTGTAAGCTATCGCCAAGTGTTGATGATTTTGTTGGAGTTATCTTTGATGTTGTTGAAGTTATTGATGTTGTAGTAGTAGATGTTTTAGTAGTAGCAGTAGCAGCAGCAGCAGCAATAGTAGTAGTGGTAGTAGTAGTAGTAGTAGTAGCAGTAGTAGCAGAGGTAGTAGTAATTGAAATTGTTGGTTTGGAAAATTTTAATGCAGATTTGAAATGATTACGAACTGTTGTATTCGTCGACGATGCTGTTAGTTGTTGCGTCGTCGTTGTTGTTGTTGGTCTTAGTAATGGTAACGTTGTTGTTGTTGTTGTTGATGACTGTGATGATGATGATGATGAAGATGACAAATAAGATGATGATGATGATGGCGATAAAAATGAAGAGGATGACAACGACGACGACGATGATGATTGCGATGATGATGATGGTGTTGTTTCTGAAAAAAATGACACCGACAATAGTGCTTCGGAGGATAGCTTTGTTGATGACGACGAAGATGACGATGATGTTGAAGATGACGTCATTAAAGATGACGATGAAAATGATGATGATGAAAATGACGATGATGTTGAAGATGACGTCATTAAAGATGACGATGAAAATGATGATGATGATGAAAATGACGATGATGTTGAAGATGACGTCATTAAAGATGACGATGAAAATGATGATGATGAAAATGACGATGATGATGTTGAAGATGACGTCATTAAAGATGACGATGACGATGATGTTGACGATGACGTAGAGATTGTTGCCATTGTCGTTGTCATAAATTTCCTGCAGTACGTCACACGCGTACGGTCATTTGCACAATGATGACGTTTTACCTGATGGATTGCTTCATGGCTGCTTTCTGATTTATTTCTTTGCGGTTGTTGTCGTCGTCGTTGTTGTTGTTGATGTTGTTGTTGATGGTGTTGTAGTTGTTGTTGTTGTCGTTGTTGATGGTGTTGTTGATGGTTGTGTTGTTGAATTTGTTGCCGGCGGTAGTGTTGGTGTTGTTGTTGTTGTTGTTGTGAATAATGTTTTTGGCGTTTTGACTTATGATGTATGAGTTGTTGTTGTTGTTGTCTTTGTAAATGTGGGTGTTTTTGTAGTATTAATTGTTGTTGTTGTTGTTCTTTTTCTTGAAATTGATAGCTATTGTATTGTTGTTGAAGATGGCGTTTGGGTGAATAACGACGATGGCCATTTTTTTGCTGTAGCTGCTTTTGTTGTTGTTGATGTTGTTGTTGGTGTTGTTGTTGGTAATGAGTTTGTTGGCGCCGTTCGTTTAGACGTACTGATTGTTGTTGTTGTTGATGTTGTTGTTGGTGTTGATGTCGTTGTTGTTGTTGTTGTTGTTGTTGTTGAGGTTTTTGTTGTTGCTGTTGTTGTTGCTGTTTTTGTTGTTGTTGTTGAAGTTTTTGTCGTTGTCGTCGTTTCGACAATTTCAATTTCGCGTAATAATTTACGCTCTTTAATTTTGATCGATCACTGAAATCAATCATCTCTATCTCTCTTTTAGACTTTTTAAATTCATCATCATCATCATCATCATTATCATCATCATCATTATCATCATCATTATTATCATCATCATCATCATCATCATTATTATTATTGTTGTTGTTGTTGTTGTTGTTGTTGTTAGTAGTAGTAATAGCATCTACCTCTTCGTCACCATCAACTCCACTATAATTATTTTCATCGTCGTCGTTGTCCTCTTCATCAGAGACATCACTATCATGATCATCGTTTTGGTCATCATTATCATGGTCATTCTTATCTCCCTCGTCATCATCATCATCCTCGCTGTTTTCATCACCATCGTCATCATCATCGTCATTATCATAATCTTGGTTTTCCCATGGTGCTTTAAATAGAACAT